AGGTAAACGGGTGCTGATCGACCAGAAATTCTTTTTCTTCCTTTCCTTTCTCCTTGCCCTTCGAATGAATAGGATGCTGATGGTGGTGATGACGGTGGTGGTGCCGATGCTGATGATGTTGATGCCTCGTCGTTTTTTTTTTTTTTTTTTCCTTCCCCTTCCCCGGTGTATTTATTTTATTTTTCCTTATCAAGCTTCCCCCAGTTCCAACTGTGCCTGAAAGTTTGAGATGCCGGCGATGTCGGACTACGATGGGTAGCTAAGCAGGAAGAGGTGAAACCTGGAACAGATAAATAAAAAGGGCGGTCAATCCGGAGAGACCCACGAATAGAAAAAGCAGCTCTTCACAACCACCAGTAACAGGGCGGGTAGAGCCTTGAACCGGACCGAACAGGCACCAGGTAGGAAGGAACAACAGCAGTGTCGGTTGGGCAAGTGCAAATAGCATTCGTTTACCCTTCAGGAAGAGGAAGAAGACGGGATCACTCTCTCCTCCTCCCACTCCCTTCGTCTGACGTATGACGAAGGCACGCAGTTAGTTCCGTGCCCTCAAGAGCACGACACACGTGGTACCTGTGTTGGCTTCTTTCTCCAGGGTTACAACTTGCTCCGCCCGACTGACGGTGGCGATAAGGTTGAAGAGGAGGGGAACAACGAGAGAGCGAAGGGGAAGGAGAGGGAAGGAGGGGGAAAGAAAGAGAGAAAGAAAGAAAGAAAGAAAGAAAGAGAAAATAGCTTGCAAACGCCTGCACTGCCGGGGAGGGAAAGCTTGCTACCAACTACTCGAGTACCCTGCTGCCTGCCAGCCGATTAGTGTCTATGAGAGGTTCCGTTGTCAAAGATCACAGGGCATTCTTCAAGTTGGCAGATGGAGGTTTATTTGTGCTGTAAAGTACTCTTCTACTTGTACTGCGCGGTACTGCACATGTACCGGTACTTCCCAAAGGGAAACAATAATACTTGCACTCAAGTAACAGCCGTCAACGGACTGACGTGTTAGCCCGCCATAGCAGAATACTAGCCCTGGAACACAGCAGCCTGGTTTCCGAATCTGAACATGGAAAAATGGCAGCCTCCTGGACCGCCGGATCCCTGCTTGCTTGAAGGGAGGGAGAAGGGGGCAAGGTATTTGTACTGTACCATACCGGTATCATACTCTACACCGCTTCTACCCAGCCGGGCACTGGCGGGGTGATAAGAGATAAACAGTGGCTTGGTGGGGCCCTTACCCCCCCCCGCCTCCACAATATCATAGCATGCCTCTGCCACCTCCCACCGGTAAAGTGCTGGAATGGCTAACTATTGAACTCAGAACTTGCCTAAACCATTGGCTCTGCCATGCTACGCTGCCGTATTAAGAGGGCATCTGTAACACCGTTTGCATTTCCCAGGCTATCCCACTCATTCCTTCTCTCCTCCCTTCCTCCCTCCCCTTCCCCCAAGTTTACTCAATCCCTCAATCACCCATCCAGCCAGTCAGTCACCCGTCGCCGGCACTACTCATAGCTGCTTACGTGCGGGGAACCTAGGGGGGGGGGGGGTTATCCGGTCCACAGCCACACACTTGCCCCCCCTCTCTCCCCCCACCCATCCTCGAGCACTGTACACTTCTAAAGGGCCCGCCCCCGTATCATAGCAAATTCTGTAACGGCAGTTTTACCACCCAAAACCCTATGACGTCGGGGCCAGGTAGAGCAAGAGAGAGAAGAAAAGAATAAAGGATTGACTCTCATCAAGAAATACTTTGGAGATCGATCCTTTTTTTCTTCCCCTTCCCTTTCCTTCCTTCAACGGGGATAACGTGATTCGTGTTACAGTCGTTTAAAAAGGGTCCTCGAGTGGAACCAACGTTGTCGTGGTAATTTAATAATAACACTATTCGAGCCTTATCATTTCGTTCCCACACCCCTCCTCCTCCTCCTCAGCCCCTCTTCCTTTTTACCCCCCGCACACAGCTTCATCGGATGCGGCTATTTCCTCGATCTTCAGGAGACATCGCCATGGCTGCTGTACTTCTTGGCGACCATCAACCTTTCACAACACTGCTACTCGTAGAGTTATCACAGTTACTCATCCTACCCACCCCCCACCCCCCTGTGGCAGTAGTGTCCTATGAGTGTACTCGAGTGCTGGAGTGATGACAGTACGGTACTCGGGGAGTGCCCGTGTTTTGGTCGAACTGGTCTGCATCTCGCGATACTAAAAGAATCTCAGCCCTGCCACACCCCCCCCCACTGAAAAAGGAGCCTAGCAGTCTTGGCATTTTTGTCCGGGAAAACTCATCATTCGTCGTCGTCGACAAAGTCTACTGGTGCTTCACTTATCCACGCCTTTACCAGTGATTCTATCAAGGAGCACGGCACACTACCCGTACATCCTCCTCGCACCCTACACAATTTATGTCCCACGCCATTAGGTCGCCCTCAACGCATGAACTTTACACAACATTGCCAGCGAATGCACTCAACACTCATACTTAAGCCTCGCCCGCCCATTTCCGATTTTCACACCTCCGGCGCCTTTGGAGGTGGTTGCAGCGGAGAACACGCTCATTGTTCTCATGATACTTTGCCTTCCAAAAGTGTAGAGTAATACGAACTCGGCTCACAATATGTTTGGCTGGATGGGCTAACACAGCCCATGCCTACCGTGGGTCATGGAACTCGTTCCCAGGCCCGAATACACATCATTAATCCCTCTGCATCTACTTCATGCTCGTGCCTAGCCGCAGCATCGGGGGGGGCAGAACGAAATGGGCTGGTGACTGTGCAATCCGCGATATATATCACGGAATATGCCGGAAGGCAGTCCGGGGCCGGGGCCCCGATCCCGTTTCTCGATGCCGGGGGCAGACTATGGGATACGTGCTGTATCCCATGGTTATTGGATGTGGTATATCATTGATTATGCCCGATCCATGGCTTGCTGTCCTTATGTACTGGTACCCGTGTCAACTGCAGGTCCTAAAATGTTTCCCTCCACATCCCAGATATAGCATCGGAGACGAATTGAATCCCGAAATTGAAACCAGCCCCACCATATAGTATTAAGCAAGGCCATTGACAAGCAATTGAACCTCCGGGCCCAGACTCGAACCGCTTTCCAAAGAAGATACTCGGCAAGTGCAAGTATTCGGGCGTCGTCAGGTTTCAACAAAGGCATCATGCTTACTAGGGTAGCCTAGAAAAAGATTAACCGACCTCTTTCTCTCTCTCTCGAAAAAAACTTCCAACCGGCCCCAGAATATCCCATTTCTGATATATCGGTATCAGTACGGCCCTGAATCCGACCCCAAGGTCCGAGTATATACGGCATCCACAATATACAGGTACGCCCCATCGGTCTTGATAGCAATCCACCCATTCAGAACCTGGACAATTCAATCTAGCATCATCACCCGTAAGTGTAGCAAGAACCATTCTAGCCATGGAGGGCCTATCTATTAGCTCCAATTCTGCCATTGGGGTGGAGTATTATGCCCCTTTCAAGCATAATTGACAGAAAAGGACACCGCTCGCATCAAAACCGTATGACCAATCGCACGATCCGTATCTGTTCATCCAGACACGAGCTACACGACTGGCCTGGGTCTCTCCCATAATGGCGCCCAGTAGGGAACGGCGCATAAACATCTGCATCAAATGGACACGATTTATCAAGCATTTGCGTTTATTCGTGAAGGTAATTGGGGGATCGGCGATGAGGCATGCGGGCGAGACTGAGTGGTTGATGACCGGCGAGTAAGGTGAGTGATTGCTGGCATTGTCTAAGAAATCTATTTCCGTTTTTCGTTTCCCGAAGATGGGCACCGCCCCTGAATATTGATATCGCTCAGGATGTAAGGTGGAATACAAGCCCACTTCCGCAGGCCTTATATCAAAAGTATTCAGAGTTGTCTCAATTTTCGAAGGTCCGGGTTTTGGATCCTAAATAGATGGAAGGGGGGGGGGATAATAGTTTCGAAGGCGAGCTTTATAGGAGCACTCCGTTAAAGTTGAAGTCACCTCCACGACTTGGAAGAGGAAAAAAAATGCTATATTGCTAATATACCGAGTAATAGTTAGTATATACACGGATTCGCACCCCAATTGTCTGCGCCAACTTTTTTTCATCCATCATCCGACCGGTGCTTCCCAAGATAATTCTCCTCGAAACTTCCGAAGATATTCCGATAGCCTTGTTTCAACCGAACACGGGCATCCAAATAACATTTCCAAAGAAAAGTGCGATCATAAAAGAAGGCTACCAGTATTAAACCGGTCTCGTCAAGCAAGAGTTGCCTTAAACGCAACATACCGGATCATCACTCGCTGAAACTGCATTTTCAGCCCCGCCAGCAGTTTGCCCCCACCACCCCGCCTGCCGGAACCTCGCTCAGTCAACTACAGACTTTGGGAAACCGAGTGATCAGGTGTGACTGCACGTTCCAGAACCCAATGCAAAGAGCCCCTGGGGATTGGTTATTTTCCGAGAAACAAGTAGGATTGTGAGCGCACACACAGGAGACCCACACCTAAGCCCGGTGAGTTGTCACGAACTGGACTAAGATGGGCAGATCGGCGGACGGATGACCAACCTTCTAATCATTAGGGATATTTTCGGGTTGCCAGCAGCGTAGCTACCACACTTGCGGTTCGCCGAGGCGGGGGACGTTGCTAGAGGTGCCGGTGGTCCTGAAAGGCTTGAGGAAAGGCTTCCTCTTTACATCCGCTCAGACCATGGAGCTCCAAGATGCGTACGAGTGGTGCAGTGCGATAAAACATAATCATCCAAATAATTAGCGGTAGCGGTCCAGGCAATGAGAAACGAACGGGTACACTCCGTAAAACGGAATCCAGCTTCGTTGTGAGGGACAAGCGTCTGACGGCCTTCGGTTGTCCATCTATGACTCATGGCTCTTTGGAAAATCATGCCCTGTGCGCGGACAAACGCACCCTTTCACCACTGCACTGATATCCCTGTGAAAATTCTCCCGGACATGAGAACGGCATATCGGCGGCAAGTTACTCTCGGTGTATGGTTCCCCCCCTCCCCTTTTGAAGATACCTTTCCTCCCCATGCAAGCGAGGGGCCGATGGCCGCGCAGCGGGCTCAGCTGTGGGTAGAACTAGAGCGGTGGCATTACCTTGGCCCGGCTTTCCTAATAGCTGATATTCCAATACTCTTGGATCCAAAGCGCATTCTAGTCAAGTGAGATATACAAGTCGAGATATACAAGTAAGCCCGCATCTGTACATTTCAGGCTATCCCCCGAGAAGTTAGTACATCTGCTAGTATGATAGCAAACCAAGGGTTTTTCTAGCACAAAGTCTACTTTCTAACCATAGATGGGCTACTATTGGCCAAGGACAATTTGACATAAGTCTTATTGAATGATCCGCCATCATTTTTTGTCCGTGTATCGTAGCTTTTGCATTATACATGAGGTGACGGAAAGTGACGGGCATCTTGCGGGGGTGTGTCGTCACCCGAGAAGCGCCAATAGAGTTCGCGATGAGCCACCACAAGACTCATCACTTCCCGTCACAGCCTCTACCGTACTCTTTATAGTACCTTTTCACCGTAGATATTGATTTTTGCTGCGCCCTCTTCTCGCTCCTTTCTCAGCTTGATCGAATCACAACCGATCACTACACTCAGGATTACATGCACACGGTACCCACCCACCCCCAAACAGCAAGTAGTAGCACTACCGTAATTGCGTCGCGAGGATCCATGGTCTCCCCCTAGCTTATAAACTGAAGGCCCCAATTGTAGGGACGAAATCCAGTCCAGAATTTGTCCAGGAGAGGTGAACGGAGAATTGGGCATAGGATAAGGTAGAGACACTCGAGCAGTTACGAGCAACTCAGCATCCAAGGAGAACCAGGAGGTCCTAGAGTATCTGTTATCCGCTTTTCCTAGCCGCGCTCCTCCGGTCTAGAAGGCCGCCCATCACTTCGAACCACCTGCTACCCAGGTCCGTCGGAGCCACAATTTTCCCGGAAAAAAAAAAATACTCAGGTAGTCTGGCTTACCAAGATATGCGCCCAAGGATCAGAGATCTTTTCGAGGAGAACCGGATAAAGGGGAGCCCCAAATTTAGACACCGGATCCACCACTTCCAGACCACAGGGGAACCCCATCCACCCAACGAAGAGACATCAGCTAGGCTTTCCAATTGGTGCACCCCCCCAGGTCACCGTTATGCTAGATAATAATTCCGACATAAATAACGCTCGTCGTTCGAAGGAAACTCTTTTCCTAATGTTTCCTATGATTAACTTCATGTAGGAACTTTTTCCAAGAAAACGGACTGGGAATAATCGTGCCGGAAAGGCAGCGAAGGACTTCATAGAGGCAAAACAGGGAATAGCGATAGTGGGAATCCCATATGTTGAAAACATCAGAGAAACATGTAGCAAGCCCCTAGTCATGGAGAAATATATTTCAATCCAATGTCTGGAAAAGGGAAAAACGCCATGACTATAGCCCCATCATTACGTTTCCCGAGAATGATTGGGGGTATGGAGCAATAGGCCCGCAAGAATTCTCTCCCCTCTCCTTTCCCCTGTATTTAATGATCCATAAATCCTCTCCCGGATGTTCAAAGAGGACCTCATTTCCCATGAAATGCAAAGGTAATTTTACGATGCTACCCCAAATTCCTTCCCCACGGATTTACCAAGCCATCTATTTCATTACCAGAGTTCTTGCAAAATGCTCAAACCCCAAGCTATGTTACTAGATATACCAGCTTCCATCGGAAGAGTCGAGAATTGCACGGCACATTAACTTATCCAAAATTCTACTCAAGAACCCAGCTCGGGATGACCGACCGTTGGAAGCCGTGTGCTATCTTTGCTCGGGAGATCTCCATAGCTGGTCCTATTCATATTTTCCCGGCTCCCGTAGATTCCAGTCCCTCAGCTCCACCCACCCCCGGTCTAATGCGGGGAATACACCATAACTCATTTTTAAATAGGGGCCGAGCTCAAAGGGAAGACTTTCATTTTCTCCTCCAGGTCATAGGTCCGGAGCAACTACAGACTGGGGATACCCTCTGGATTATGTAGGGAACTCCTCGCCAACGGTGTCAAGTAGACAACACCCCACTATAGGTCGTTTAATAACTAGACAGAGGTCAAAACACACCAAAATTGCGGGTTTTCAGGCCACGATAACTCTACAGATATCTTGAAACCCAGCTTTGAAAAAATATTAAAAATATTTGACATGTATGAAGTATAATATATATTTATTTTGTATCTTTTTCTGTTGTTTGTAGAGAACTGTGGACACATGAACTGGGTAAGGTTGGTTGCAATGTACCTGTACTAGTGCCTTTCCCATACAAAAACCTTTGTCTTGGCAGGTACCTCATGGGAATAGACATTCTACACTTCTCAACCAACTCTGGGAGAATAGAAGGAAAAAATCCCACGCTTTTTTATATGCACGCCATTGTGGCAGATTATTTTTTTAAATTTTTTTCTATGTTGTTTCCGCGCATGGTAGTTGCGTAATAATAGCTCGAAAACTGTCACTTTTGGTGTATTTTGGCCACTGTCTAGTTACTAAACGACCTCTAGTGTTCCTGAGATCCGATTGATCGATCATGATTCAGGTATCAGCTCCTGGAAATCTTCGCTCCAGTAGAGCATTCGTCCGATAGCATTACCCATCTGCCTGGAGAGCTCATCTAGTGTTCCTTAGTGCAACCGACTTTCTTGCTAATATCCATTTCCCTCGCCTCCTGATCTCCGCACCTACAAACCACTATATGGCTGCATTATATGGCTGCATTGTTTAAGGATGTCGCCACCACCACCGAGGCACATTCCTATTGCAAAGGTGTATCCAGATACAGCGCCATGAGCCGTTCTCCTCGACTAGGGGTTAAGCTGCTTCCCACAAGATTGAAGTTGAAGCCGAGCTCGAGGGCTTGAGTCTCCACGGGGGAGCAGGACGCTGAACTTCTCACCCGGATGTTCTCCCCGTCCTTCAGATATTCTCACCTAACACCTCCTTATTACTTATCCTAGATTATTTTCCCCCGTTCCACCCAGCTTTCCCCCTGTTAATCCAAACCACTACGACAAGGATTGATGAGGGATTCGAAATCTGGAATGCCAACCTGATCTTGTCATGGTATCATAGAGTACTTTAACCAGAAAAACGGTCTAACTTTAAACTGCTAAAGATCAGCATCTTTCACTACATCCGCCTCTGTCCCACGATAGATAGCAAATTGAAGATTTGAAAATAGAAAGGTATTTTAAAAACACACCTCCGAGTGAGCTATAGTGACCCCATCCGTACAGTACCATACCCGAATTTGATTATGGCCGAGAGCCTTCATCCTCTCTCCCCGGTCACCACCAACTTACGATAAATATCAAAGGAAATGCATTCCAACGGCCATTTCTCCCACCTTGAGCCTTGATAGAAGCACGGTTTCGTACCTCCCGTGTACCGGTATCATACCTCAACTTTACCTCAAGACAGACGCTGGACGTGTAGTCAGCAAGTTGCCGTACGATTAGAAGAACCCTTCCCCCCCAGATCTTCGGTACAAAACCCAGACTTTCAAGTAGCTGCCAGAAGCAAGCAGAGCAAATACCTTCCCCCAAACGCCAGCAATACCGAGCCAGCCACAGAGGCACTGGCACCATAGATCTCCCAATCTCTGTTGCCTATCCGAAATACTGATAAAGAGACACGAAGCTAGCCTACTTTCCTGTCATGTACAAATAGGTACGATTGTACTTGTAAAAATTGGCAATGCCGGCACGGATTCCGAACTTCCCCCTCAGAGCTGCGACCTTGATATTTTGCGGAAAATTTCCCCTAACCCTCTAACCTGACATATAGCTATGTAGATTTTTGGGTTAGCCTATCAAAAAAATTTTTACGGAGTCTTCCTCACTCTCCACTGATGTTATCATATGATTCGTGCATACTAAAAGCCAGTGTTGAGACCGGAGACTCGGGGAATGTCTCTTGTGTCGTCAAGATTATATGATAGTCTACCTGCTTCTCTCGCAGCGCTCGAGTACCGCACGATATGATATCATACTCCGTAAGCAAATGCGTGTCCATTACTGGATTAACGTTTCACCGAGCCACTATATTAGTAACGTTCTCGAAAAAAAACCAAAATTCACTCCCCTCACATTCCCCAACCACGACAATCGCAATAAAACACACATTTCCTCTATAACCCCCTTGAATCAAAACTCATGCTAAAATCCATCCCTTTCCCAAGGACTACTCCTCTCTATCATGTACTCCCTAAGCGTGCGCTCCACATCACCTCAATAAACCGGACCCTTTCTCCCTCTGACAAGCTATGGATTGCACCATCCGACGCTGACCCCTCCAGACGAGACTACGCTCTTGCGTTCCGTACTACCCGTCTCCCAAAGCCAGCGGCAGCTGAATTGCTTCCCCAGATATGCCGGGGCATAATCAACTCGAGTCCGAACATCTCTGTTTCATCTGCGGTTCGGAAGGTAGTCGAGCGGACAGGGTACGCCTGGGAGAAATGCGGGAGCTGTGGAAATGGTCCGTTAGTTGTTGTCCCCGGAGCGAATTAACAGTCAATCATGTCGTCTCGGAAGCTAAACCGAGGTATTCACAGCAATGCTTTCACCACGAGAACAGGATTCCAGAAATGTGGAGGATGTCCCCGCACTACTGGTCCTTCCACTCCCAATAGCCCGTGCGGGCCCCTCCACAGCTGCACCCCCGAGGGAATTGATAAAAGGCACCTGCCACGACCTCTCGGACCTGAGCTACCAATTCAACCCCGACCTAACTTCGCTCCCAACAATAGAGAAGGGGATATACATCTCAGCCTTGTGGAAACGCCTCCTCCCACTTTTCAAGGGAGCCCTCCGTGCAAGCATACACAAAGTTCTACCAGACGAGGAGCGAGAGGCACAGATTGAAACGCTTGTGCACAGATTCGAAGTATCCGGGAGCATCACTGTGGTGTTCGTCCACGCGGAGCTAACAGTCGAGAACAGTCTTGCGCTAGTTTCGGGTGAAGTTGAAGGTTTTCTTACCCCAATTTGCTCCATCCTTTGTGCAAGCACTTAATAGCGATAGAATGCGACTACGCAAATGCCACGAACGGTCTTTGGTCGCCCGTCCTAGCGATCCTGAGCAATGGCCTGTCGTTCCAGTATTTTATTTACAATGCCATCACAGCGCCAACAAGAATTTCTGCATCGAAGGTGTTCCCGGGCCTTAGACCATCCCCTAGCGAGAACGGGTTCGAAGATAGCGTGGAGGAAGTGTTGCAGAGAATGTACTATGTTTTCCTTTGCGGGTATATCAATGGGATAAAAGCACAGCTTCGGAGGATTTCGGCGGTTTATGGGGAGGAGGATAGAGCAGGTGGGGCGCTGGAGAGAGCGCTCGAGGAGGCGGAAGGGGCTTTGGGGGCCGGCAAGGGGGCGATAGATGGCACTGCGGGTGTGGAGGAGGGGGTGGAGGCTCTGGCGAGAAGGTTTGTACCCTGCCCATGGAGATCTGCGCTACCACTGTAAGCACCGGTACGGTACTCGAATGGAAGATAAATGTGCTAGGACGTTGGAATTTCCTTTCCCGGTCACGTGAGGGGGGGGAACCCAGCAAACATAGCGCTCAGCTGGGACAGAACAGTAGTATGGACAACGCCCCAATATGAGAGGCAATTGCAGCGTCGCAGCACATTTATCTTCCATTCGAGTTCTTGGGGTATGATATCCTGATCCCCGGAGCTAACTCGTGTCCAGCGCGGAATATTTGCGTGAAGCCACTTCAAAGCCGGAGGGAATCAACTACGATACCGGCATATCCTCTCTATGAACTCCCAAGTGTAGTGCAGCCCTGGATCACCTCTCCCCCAACAATTTCCCTCAAAAAAAGTATCATCCTGACAACCCACAGCCTCCCGGGAATACGATAGAATCAATACAAAGAGTGTACTATAGACATCGCCACTCTCAACCCACCCCCTTCCCTTTCAGGGTGACAAAACATAGATAAATTCATGTACAATAGAAGCATCCAATTAACTTCCACCGCAATCACCGTGCAAGTACAAGTACTGTACTACCGGTAGTACACCATGACTCGTGCCACAATACAATACACACAATTTCCGTATCCCACACAAAGTATCCGAAAACGAGACAAGGTCCCTTCCTCGCTAATTAGGTGATAGTGTAACAACACTGTAGCCGTATTCCCAGGTATAGGCACAATACAATACGAGTACTAGTACAGTACACTACCGGTACCCCCCTTATCATACCGCAACAAGAGTACCGGTATCGGTATCGCACTCGGATATTTACCCCCTACCACCAATCCCCGCCGCATCACCTACAAGTACCTACTGCACAACGCCGTATCGCAAGCAACTAGGCGTATCACAATACACAGAGCCACAAAGTGACCAGGAAAAAGTCTCGGTGATCCCGCACATTTACACCAAATCTGTCGCTTTGAGGGGTCTTTAAATGAGCTCCTGTGCCGAACCAGGGCCGATGATTTTTTCCAAGTGGTTATATACTTGCGCGCATGTCAAAATTAACCTCCAACTCCTCAGAGAGGTCCCCCGACGATTTTCCCCATCATGCTACAGCTTACCAAAGCATGGGATCCTGTAGCGAGGTGCTGTTGCCAGGGCAACCGTCTCAGGAGTATGGCATGATATGACACCGTAAACCGATGACAATGACAACCTTTTATCATAAGTGCAGAGCACGAGTACCGTATGATACCCAGTACCGGTACTCGTACAATTTCACATGCTTGCAGCACCTTCCCTTAGTTGGTAGTGAGAAAATCAAGCTTCAAATTATCCCCCGGAGTATGATACCACGCCACGAAATGAACTTTTTTTAAATCATAAGAAGTATCGGTTTCGATGACCTATCATATCATAACTGCAAACAATTTTGAAAAAGTAGGCAAGGGTTTTCGCTCATTCTCTCCGGGAAATGGGGCTATGGTGTGATACCAGTACCATACCGGTAGATCAACCATGATCCTTGCTTAGTCACTGCCACGGGGGAAAGAGAGAAAGAAAGAAAAATAAATAAAGGATAACCATCACAGCAGCCGCTGCGCTCGTTATACAAGTACGAGTACTGTATCGTGCGGGAGGGTAAAATTGGCTTACCGGTACTGCTGGTGGTACCAGAGTATGATACGGTACCAACTCGTTTTTCACGGGATTGTAATTTTATTTTTGTGCTATTGTTTGATACATGTTGTCGTACAGGCATCATATCATACCTAGATGATTAGGGGGGGTGAGGGGGAATCACGTGCTAGGGGGTTGCTCTATCCTCATGGTTTCTCGCTCGGTGTGGGTTGTGGAGTGGTCGCTCTTGGCTGTTGTGGAAGTCGGCGGAACCGGGACGTGGCAGTTGGGTGAGTTTTCTGCTATGTGTGTGTGTGGGGAGGGGGGGAGGGGTTTATCTGGTTCAATGATTTTGTGGGGCGTTTTTCCCCCCTGCATGGTAACTAGGGCACGGGATGGGTTGAATCTCTCTTGCTGTGCTAAACCGATGGAAATCAATCGCTCGTGGGAATCACATGCATACGAGCTCTGGTTGCAGGGGGGATATCAACATTATTACTAAAGCACTTCTTTGGTTTTTTAATAAAATAAAAGTTTTATTCAGTGGCCAATTATCCAGGCATACTAGCAAACTTGCAACCCGACTCAAACGAAACCGGTCCGCCCCCCCCCCCCCCACCATCTCAAAAACCCATCCAGAGTCCAACCTTCAAACAACCTGTCCTCCACGCCTTACTTTTGCGGTAAGTTAGGGAGAGAGTTAGCTTACAACTCGTCCGGTGAGAATTGAAAAGAGTATCCACCGCAGACACAGCTACACCCCTTCTTAGGAGTTGATACGGAAGAGGGGGTCGCCCTCCCAACGCTTTCGAGAGGAGGCTGAGCGCTCCTGGTAGGGGCCGGCGATGTCTTCACGGTCACCGCAGTCCCGGAGGACACAGCGGGTTTTACTTCTGCGGCCTTAGATGGAGGGATAGCGCCCACAGCAGCCTTCGTTGGTAGGATAGTCTTGGGTGCCTTGGCATCCCCCGCGGGGCCATACGCGGGGCTGTTAGTTACGGTTGTACTCACCGTGCTCATCGCCGCCGTTTCAGCCGGTCCAGGTCCGGCCGGGCCGCAATTGCCGACAGGGGGTGCCATTCTGGTGGATGCCATTTCGACATCTTTCCCGGGGTTGGGGAAAGCCACGTCCATACCCTCCTGAGTAGTGCATTCATTCCCGATGTTTGCCCGAAAAATGTCAGGATACGACGCTCCCATTCCACTCCCACCGTCGGTGATCGTAACAGATGCACAGTTCATATACATCTCTCTGTTCCCCTGGTTGTTAAACCAAGTCCAGGCAAAGACTGCAGGACCACTCTTTGCCCCTTTGGGGACCGTGAAAGTAAAAGGCTTATCAGCGACGGGGCAACCACCAATGTATGACTTCATCACACGAAAGTTTTTTCCATTGTCCTCGGAGAGCGACGCCTGACAACTGCCGCCCATGTGGCTCGCCCCCCCTTTGACGGTGAAGGATTGCATGCTGCCCGCTTTCCATGTTGCCACAGAAGCTCCGGCGGCCCCTGTGAGGGCGGAGAGGTGACCCTTGCATGGGTAATCCGCACCGGATTTGCCAAGAGGAGAGGAGTAGTCGTAGTCGATTTTTCCCGATTTTGCATTCGGATTGTCTTGTTGGTTGAGTGCGTAGGGGGACATCAGTTGCATGTGCCCACAGACCAGAGCGGGCAAAAGGGAGAGAAGAATAGAGAGGTGCATTGTGTCGATAGGCGACGATATATATATTATGCGATATTTTCCCGAGTTGAAAAACGGTGTGTGTGGTCTGTTGAGGGGAGGAGATGATGATGGTTGGGAAACGGGGGGGGGAGAAGTTTGTACCTTGGATATAGAGCAAATTTACGGAATTCTATCATACGACGGTAGTGGAAGAGGCCCACGAAATAGTAAAGCCCTCAAAGAGTATGTTTGCCCGGGCTAGGGCCACGCACCTCTCATGATGCTTGGCTGGACAGTTTGAAGTTCGAGCCATACTATCGTGTAAACGTCACAAGATATCATCATAATTATCATAATATTATTATGATATGTACCATATGATGGGGAAACGACCCTATGCCCCTCCGTGGCCCCAACAGCATCCGTCCATTTCCATACCCTGGACTCATCGCGACCTGCCCGAAAGGCAAATTCATAGTTTCCTCCGCACTTGTATTCAAGAGACGATCAGGTGTCGAATTTTCGAGTCATAGTGCCTTGCACGAGCAGAGTAGCAAACTTAATATTGCCGGTAACCCCCTTCCCCGATGGTTATCCGGGTGATATCCCATGATAAGGCTGAAGTCTTAGTGTCACCCCCACCTGCATCCGCCCAACGCATGAAACCTCCCACGGCATTCGCTTCCAACCAAAACGCGGGCCCGATCACCCCTTCTCTGGACGCCAACCCTAGAAGCGAGGTACGAGTACGGCGCCGTACCGGTACTTGCACCGTTCTCACCGGCAGAGCTGGAAACGCTGTGGCGCAAACTCAGCACAAGTTGTCACTCGTCCAGCTAGGCAGGTCCCAACTAGGGGGCTACCGTACAAGTATGTATTCCAGGCGACGTTGGTGGCCCATTCTAATTTCAAAAGCGGAGCGTTGGAAAAAAGTGCAGGAATTTTCTGTTAAGGAGAAAGCGGTCCATTCCCTATGACCTATTCGACTTTTTGTATCCAGGATGGTAGGTTAGTAATACGGTACTTACTGTATACCGGTACCGCAGACATTATGGTCTTAAGCATCGAGTTACTGGTAGGTGAAGTGGGGGGGGAAGAGAAAAAAGGAGATATCTAAACTTCACGCCGGAGAGGGGTGGAGGTGGGGTGCGGAAATTAAGGTTCAGGGGAGTACTCGAGTACAAGTAGACTCCCGTATGACTCAGCATGAGTCAAAGGTTATTTCTTTTACCGTACTCGCTCTGACACCGACTGGCCGCTTAGCAACTGTGCATCTTATGCACTATTTATCCCGCCATCCCCAGAAGTTACCGGGACTCGAGTACTGGTGAACAGATAATAGATCTGATCCATTTTACAGCGCTATACCGTAATGTACCGGAATCAGAACACCCCCCCGTACGCTAGGGCTACGGAGGGGAGCGAGATACCCTTTTGGATATCCGGATGGGGGAGCACAGCCAGGCGCGGTCTTTCGTGTGGCCCATCGAATCGTTTCGAAACGTGTGCGGCGAGAGAAGAAAGATATCATAAAAAAAGGATGGTCATGAAAGTGCTTACTTATTCCGCTGCTGAGTGCAAACCCCTATTCAATTTTGCACTCGAGTACAACATTTTGGGGTCGGGTCACCACGGATGATAGTTTTTTTGTCGATACAAGTAGTCCTCCTCTCTGAGGGCACTGCGGAGCCGGATGGATGACGGATAGGGGTAAAGTATTTCACAGGCGGGGGGTAATTCGTGAAAGTAGGGTAACAAAAACTTGCCTGTTGGAGATCCCTGTTCGCTGTGCCCCGCTCAGTCATCCTCGTGCCGCCGGGGAAGACTGTGCTCGCATAGAATAGAGTTACCTGAGCAGGAGCGACGTCTGTGATACTTGTACGGGCGCCTGTCTCCCGGTACTTGTACATGTCAGTGACATGTGGGGGATACATGTACCTGGAGGTTGGCAAGAATAGGCATCGATCATCGGGCTTAACTCACAGGCAGAAGTATTATACCGTACCGGCACTTGGCAGCGCATCTACTTGTACTCGAGTGGAGCACAGTGGGTGGTATTTGGAAACCCCATGGTACGGCGGGTCAAACGTACAGGTAGGGCAGTTGGGACTTTTCACTACGCAACAACGAGCTACACCCCATGAAAAAGGCTCGGTTAGAATAATAAATAAATAAATAAATAAATAAATCATCATAGGATAAATAAAATAAATAAATCAAGTAAAATAGAAAATGAAATAAAACAAAAAGAAAACTATGATAGAATAAAGAAATAAATAAAGTAAACTGAGAAATAAATGTAAATAAAATAAAGAAATGAACAAAGTAATAGGCGAAATAAATATAAATATAAAAGAATAAAATTTAATGAAAGAAATAAGATAAATAAATAAATAAATAAAATAAAAAAAGTGAAAGAAACTAAGTATAGAAAATGGTAAAAATGATAAAAATATCAAGAGGATGGAGGATCTTCAGAGGTAGTACCGCCATTATCATCAGGAGAATCAGGTTCAGGATTTGCAGAAACATTAACAATATTGCAATATTTCTTAATGGTACGTGGATTTTGTGTAGTAATTTTCTCAGGAGAAAGTAAGGTAAGACTACGCTTGCGTATAATTTGCGAATGAGAAGCAGCCTGAGGAGGAGCAAGGGTAGTAGAGCTTGAACTTGAGCTGGTAGGTTGAGCTCGAGGAGGCGTAGATGGGACTGGTTTTGATTGATGAAAGGGGTGAAAGGCAATAGCAGAAAGTGAAGATTGTTGTTCGAAATCAAGGTATTCGTTTGATGTATTTGCCGTAAGGGAGGTAGGTTTACTAGATGTAGTAATAGCTTTTCGATTAGAACTATGACGACGGGAAGGAGTTGTTGCTGTATGTGAACGCTTAATAGGAGAAACAGAACGGGATTTCTGAGTCTTCCGGTGAGTTACTAGATGTGTTTCCTTAAAACCTTCACCGGCATCACTAACACTGGCAGACTTAGTATCAGAGGAGGATGAATCATCTTGAAATCGAATATAAATAGTATAGGCCATTCTGATCGGTTCTGAGGAAATCTTTCCACCTTTTCCTATAGCAATAGATTTCTTGGAAGAGCCCATCATTTTAGGATTTTTTACTAAACGAAGAAGATCTGCGATAGTACCACGACCAAGAAGTTCATTTGCTGCAGGTTGAGTATTACCTCCCTCCCAATAGCCAACACAAGTAGGAATATGTGGATTGATTTCGAAATCCTTAATCTTCGGGAATGACCGCCAGGCAGGATGAGTAAGAACTTCCTCATGAAGATATTATTGCCAATCAGCAACGAAATCTGACTTGTTATAGTGTTTGATCATTGGAGATCCATGTCGGATTGGTGTACTAGTTCCCTTTTTGTGAAAAAAGAGAGAAAGTTGTTTCGTATAAATTTTCGGCGTTATGGAAGATGAGGTAGATGATAGTGGGAGAGATATTGTATTGTAACGATT